ATCACCTGTTCTGGACCAAATTAACACAGGAAGTTCCTAGATTGTCAAAGTGTCAAGCAATGCAAATGAAATGTAAATGAAGTAATAGGATTTCAACATATGTGTGTTCAGAAAGAAAAGCAGATGAAACTAAGGTATTTCATCTGAGATCCTTATGACTAAGCTATCAAAGTACTGATACCACCATTCAAATTATTGATAAGAAAATTGGAATACTGTGTCTGTCTTTGAGAAATTACAGGTATTGTAAGGGAGATGTACAAGTTGAAACAGTTTGGCAAAAGAAGAAACTGCTACAAACTGGTCAGGAATAAATCCAGGGCTCAGGTAGGGAGAAGAATGTTCTAACCAGCAGGATTCAAGCACAATCTCTTTCTGAATGTTGAGGAGTAAAAAGATTAAGCTAACCTTATGTGGTGGATGTTTAAATGTATGAAAAGGATTCCTCTTGGTTATCTTCTTTGATGGGGGTAAATGTTACTTGATGACCCAGGAGTTCCCTCTCATTCCTGCTTCTCTTGAGCTCTTGTCTGTGAGGAGAATGTTGTGATTTGATATTTACTTTCCACATGCCCTCGTTATATTGCGTGTTAAGCAGAAGATATTTAAAAATACAAGGTGTTGAAATCTGAATATAATAATGCCTTGCAGAAATAGCCTGATACTGCAGAGTTAATGCAGAAACTAGGTAAAATGTATCATGGAATTTCTCGTGAGTGAACCTTTGCCCCAGATACACAGCTGTTGGTGTGCATCAGATTACCTACTTATGCAATGCTGTAGATACCTTCTGTTTGCATTGTCACATGCTTCTGCAGCTAAATTTTGGAGTAGTACAGATTTTTATCTCACAATAACAAACCACTAAGTAGTTGGCACAGTTTATTAACGTAAAGAGAAATAATTTTTTAAAAACAGATAAATAGAGTCTTTGATTTATGTTAGACTTTTAAGAGAACATGTGATGTGTCTTGATGCTTTCTGTATTGGTTCTAGGGGACCTAAAACTAGATTTTACAGTGTTATTTTTGACTTATTTCTGTGTAGCAATGCAGTAGAATAGTTCTGGTTTTGCCAGTTATAGATTCAACTGATCCAATAAGTATGTTGCATACCTACTGAAAAGAGAAATCAGCTCATTAGCTTTATCAGACAATTTTAATTAAGAAGCATTTTTTACATTGTGAGAACATTTCTGCAACATATCTGGTGTCTTTACTGCTAATAGTAAATCACACAGTTTTGACTAACTGTGATCAGCCTGAGATGTGGGTGGGATGGATTTTCCTTTCCCCTCCCTGTTTTCCTGTCTTTTCGTAATTCAGGGACACTTTTTCAGGGCATCAATGAAATGCTGGACTTCCAGTTTAAAGCAAGCAAACCAACAGAAAACCTCAAACACTGCTTCCTTCCACCACCTCCCATCCCCCAGAAACCAACAACCAAAACCCCCCCACACAAACAAATAAACCCCTACCAAACAAAAAAAGAACAGCATCCACAATTTTCTCCCCATTTTCCCTCAAGTCTGTGGAAAACCTATCTACACAAACACTTTTTGTACTCCCTGGTTGTAGTACTGGCCAAGCACTGTTATTTTGGCTGGCCTCTGAATCATCATACTCTCTGTATTCACAGAGGCAGCAAACCCCAGGAGCACCTTCAGTCTGTGTGCACACTTCCATTAGCACCACATTCAGTGGCACCAGGAAGATTGAAGTGTATAGGTACCAGCTGAGATGAATTATATATAGATATGAAAAAGAACTGATGGTGGGTCAGTGGTGCATTTTGATTCGGAACATACTGATAGTAACAAAAGAAACAATGGATGCATTTTAAAATAGTCACTGGAATACAGAAGTATTTCTATTCTCACACCAGTTGTGCAGAAGTTATATGAATTTCAGTGTGACTTGTTAGAAACTTTGAGATTTTTTTTTTTTTTCCTAATTGGTCAACCAGTCACGATGGTTGTTGAATTATTGCAAGTAATTCCAACAGAGAGCTGGTGTTAGAAGTTGAGGAGAAAACTAAGCTGGTTTTCTGCATAATTGAAATATCTGGTTTTGTTGTCTGATCTTGGGCTCTTTATTTGTGCTGGAGAAAACTGCTGGTGTTCTAAAAGCAAAGTTCCTTTCTTTCTGCAGCAGTCCATTTGGCTCACAACAAAATGAAAGGAACTTAGATTCACAGAGAGAATAAACTTTATAAATGCGAGCATTATGTGTAGCTATTCTAAGAATTATGCAGAGTTGAAGCAGCTTCATGGTTGTTTTCTACAGTACTTATTCTTTGTGAATTATTTGGTGATAACTCTTTAAAATGTTAAGATGTAAAATGAAATGTCTTGGCAGTCATTTATGAATAACTCTCAGCTGTTACTGCTTACTTTAACACTTTTATTGCTGGGCTTGTGTTTGATAGGATGGAACATTTAATGCCTCTTTTAAAGATGGAATCTACACTATGGCTTTCAAACAGATGTTGGTGTAGGTAGAGTGTAACAGGTTTTATGCCCTTAATGAAAAATAGTAGAGAATGGCTTATACTTAGCTACAGTCTGGTTCTGTATTAGATAGTCCAACCATGCTGCTTTTAAAATTAAACTTCCTGCTTGCATAGTTAAGATACATCTGAGGAGGAGATTTACTGTTCCAGTGGGACAGGTAATTAAAGTTCTCAGTAGCTTTAATAAAGATTTGTGTAAATCACTAATGGGATTGGCAGCCTGAGCTCCACTACATTGCAATGTTGTGCAGTGTGGGTGAGACAGCTTTCACATAAGTATTTACCTTGTACTTTCCCAAGTGTTTGAGTTGCAGAAAAATGTGTAATATTTTTCTTTTTTAAAATAAATCCTGTTTTAAATACACTTGTTTTGAATTCTTCCCGTTTCGGGGAACTCTGCATAGCATGGTGTGTCTTCCCAAGCCTCAAATTAGACTTAATTTCACTGTCTTTGTAAAGCTTGCATAGCATGGGAAAAAAATTAGACCTTAGAACAGATAACAGCTACTTCATTAGAGTTTATGCATTATGCCTGCCCTGTCCTTGGGGAACTGGGAGGAGAAACTGATGATTCAATTACTTGGCATCCAGCAATTAAGTGAAATAACTGTTTTAAATGTCTGACATTTAAGGATTGGTTTGGGCAGAGAGAGCATATTAAAAATCGGAGAATTTAGACTTTCAAATTATTCAGCCAGCTGATGCTGAGACACTTAGGGTAAGAAAAAAAGACTAAGCCTCTTTCAGCCTGAAGATGAGTAACTTAATTGTGATATGTGATCACATGAGGAAGGACAGTGTGATAAGTACCTCCTATGCGTATTAAAGTGTTTGCCCCAAGTTGTTTATTTTTAGGTTTACTGGCAGAAAAAACAGCTATACATATGGTATTTATGGTTTCAAGTTTGTATCAACACTAAGTTGAGATGCCCTAGTTGGTAGAATCATTTTTCTTTCATCAGCAAGTCCGCCTGATTTTCTCTAAAAAGCAGGAAGGTGACTGTGACTGCTATTTTAGAAGTGTGCCTTAGAAGTTAATCATATACTCAGTACTTACAGTTTTTAAAAGAAATATTTCTAGCTCCCTCCATCTGCAGTGCCTGTGTATAGCTTTTGTATTCTCAATTTTTATTGTTTCATGAAGTTACCTGATTTGCTATTTAAAATATATGCATATATATAAGTGGAACAGGTAGACCAGCTTGATTCAGTTACTGTCTTCTGCTGGGTGTTCTCCGTAGTAATTTTCTCCTGCTATTAACAAAACAAAGATTTTGGAGGACCAAGGCCAGCTGTGGCAAGCTGAAATAGTGGCATTTCTTACATAATTATGTGATAGACTAACACATATACCAGCAAAGGGAGTCTACACTCAAAGGACAGGTCTGTCAGTGGTAAACACTGAATATAAGCCAGCTCACTTTTGTCTACTATGTACAAGTGTTGCAGTCCAACAGAGATGCTGGTTCTGGTGGGTTGGAGTCTGGAGGCCTCCAGCATAATGGAGCTCTGTATTGCTGCTCTTCAGACACAGCCTTGTGACTGTGGAAATTCTGACTGAGCTTGGAAAGGCAATTGTAGATGATACGCAGTGGGAATATGACTTGAGAAATCTTGTTCTGTTTGTTGTGTCTTCTTCCTCCTCATCCTCTTAATTCTTAGCAGAATTTGAGTCAATTGGGTGAAATACAATTTCATTTCATTTCTTACACATTGGTGCCGATTGGGTGAAATGCAGTAAATGTGCTCTGTCAAGAGGTGGTGACTGAAGAATAAAATGATTTCCTGGGGAAAAGCGTTTTCGTTTTATTAAAGCCTGCTTCTTCAGACAAGAATATTTTGAGATTTTCCTTTTTTTTTTTTCTCTCACTGAGACTTTATGAAGGCTTAACCTAGAGATGTGTTTAAAGCATAGGAGGTGGACGTAAGTGACCGTAGTTCTTTGGTATAGATACTGCTACTATGACTGCACTGAATTGTCATTCAGCAAATGATTTCAGTGATTTGTCTACCCTGTATATTTATAGTAACATTCTCTTTTTTCCTTCCTAAACCCCTTGTTCTTAGCATTCCCATGGTTTGGAATGGATATTGGTGGAACGCTGGTTAAACTGGTCTACTTTGAACCTAAGGACATTACTGCAGAGGAGGAGCAGGAGGAGGTGGAAAACTTGAAAAGCATTAGGAAATACTTGACCTCCAATACAGCCTATGGTAAAACCGGCATTCGTGATGTCCACCTGGAACTGAAAAATTTGACTATGTGTGGACGCAAAGGAAACCTGCACTTCATCCGCTTTCCCAGCTGTGCCATGCACAGGTTCATACAGATGGGCAGTGAAAAGAACTTCTCCAGTTTGCACACTACGCTCTGTGCCACGGGAGGTGGAGCTTACAAGTTTGAGGAAGACTTTAGAACGGTACGTGAATACTTCCCACGGGTTCAGTGGGAGGAACTGTGGAAAAACATCATGAGAGCCTGTCTATTAAAACTTACTAGGAAAATAACATTTTTTTAGTCCATCCTAACTGATTAGGAGCAACAGAATCAATTTACATTTATTAATTGGTGACATTGCTGAGAACGTGGAGCGGGGAGGAAAAGGTATTCTACTTGCTGGGTATTCTATCGAAGTATTCCTGTGCAGGATGGTTTTAGTAAATGTGGAGATTTTTTAGACAATGGCTGCAATGATTAGATGCTTCATAATCAACTGAGGGTATGCTATGACAACCTAGAAGCCTGACACTATAGGCACACTGGTTATATGTTGGAAACCAGATATGAAACCATCCAGGCTGGAGATTTGATTCAGGATCCCTTCCCTTTGTATTAACCTTCGAACAGACTGACGTGAAGAGTCTGGAAGACTCTTGGAGCATGGGGCATGAGACAGTGTGTGGGAGCATAGTAGTACCAGTGAGCTTTTGATTTCAATTTTGTGAGTGTGCCATTTAAAGAAAGGCAATCAATGAGATGAGTAGGTCTCAGATCCCCAAGGATGTAAAAATAACCTTTACAGGGAACTCCAGAAGCTGGTGTAAATGCGAAGTTTTGCACTAGAGTACTCTTCAAGAATTGGTTGTGGTGCAGAAGCATGGAAGAGCTTTTCTTTTCAACATGTACAAACCGTGTTGAAAAGCAAAAGCATCCAGGAGGCAGTTGTCTGTTGTATGTCCATCGGCATTGGGACATATCTTCATTTATTTTCTGTGAAAAAGAGACTAATCTGATTGTCCCAGGACAGTGTCACTAAGACTAATGTGAATGATTTACTTGACTGGTGGGTCTGGCACTTCTGTCCCTAACTTTTGACCTGATCCTGAGGGTATGGCAGGTTACAGTTGCTTTTCTGTCTCTGCTTCAGTCTAGGGAGCTCTCATACTGAATCACCAACTGCTGTTGACTGCAGTCCTTGGCTCTGTGTGCTTCATTTTTAACTCCCAAACATCCATCCATTCCTGCTGTACAAGAGGGTTTTTTCTATGTTCCTTCTGTCATCAATATCCTCACATACCGGATGACCAGGATTCTTAGGGGAATAAAGAATGCTGTAAGAGCTCAACATGAATTCCAACTGTTAGGTTGTTGTGCAGTCACTTTCAGAGAGTATTAGACTGCTTTCATGTCCAGCAAAGGGCTATCAAGTTTCTGAATTGGTGTAGTAGTCCACTACTAGTGCAAGATTTCGTGTTGTTTAGGCTGACTGCAAGTCCCTTACAAGTTAGTCTACTGATGATTAAGTCCTCAAAAACTTGTTTGCCTTGCGTTGTGAAAGGATATTGGCACCACAGTAGGATGTGAGTTTTAGTTATACTCAGTGTGGCCTCAGTTGAGGAGTTTTTGAGTATATTTTCTTATGTCCTGGGAATTATTCAGGCCATATTCTTTATTGACAACGAGAGGTCACTTCAAGACTTTCTGAAGAGGCTGACTATCCCCTTGAAATGGTCAGTCTCTCCAAATTCGTTCTTCCTGCATCATGTAATAAAAGCTACCATAGCTTAGTAAGGAAGTTCATGTCCTTTGCTCCCACAGCTGTAGAACTGAACTGGAAGTTACCTGTTGGCTCTCACAGCTGAACATTTCTCTCTGTAGCTTTGGCCTTACGGGCTGTAAATATGCACTCCATGGCGAGGGATCAGTCTTGTCTCAGCTGCAGTATAGTCAATATAGCAAGGGAAGCCTTGGCTGGAGGAGTTGGGGCTGTTTTACCAGCTATTGAACACAAATACGAGGTCACATAGCAAATGACTTGTTGACTTAGGCTTGAAATTCCACACCTCTGCAGTGTTGTTAACATCCTATGTGCTACAACACTTATAGGTAGTTTAAGACAAACCTTATAAAGGCTGTCTGGGGAGTTTTCTAGCATAAAGCTCTCAGTGAAGTACACTCCCACTAAAGTGAGTGCTTTGGACACCTCTTAGAGCTATCCAGTTCTTTATAGCAAGTGTTTCTTGGCTCAAACTGTAATATCCTCAGAGAATTACAGAAGCAGAATATTATCCAACACATGGAAATTTGCTTGCTTAATCTCTCTCAAAGGGCAGCGTGTTCTGGGTACTGCACTTAAATTGTCACCCTTCATTAGCCATGGTAACAGCAGCTGGCTATCAGTGTGTTCTGCTGTGTATAAATTGACACTGGACAACAGCTTCAGGACTGTTCTGTCAAAGCTCTGAAATATCTGTTTCAAGTATGTGGTCACTAATTCACCTCCAGAAGTAGAGAATTTATGCCAAGTCTAAATCTGCCTACTGCAGGATTCAGTTTTGTAAAATGCTTTATATGGAGGAGACTTTAAATCTTCCTGTTTGTTACTTAGAAGCAGTGTGGAAAAGCTAAGGTATGTTTGTGAATATTATTATTTACATTAAAAAATCTGGCTAAATGTTAGTAAATTCATTTGATCTAGCTAACGTGCTTTTATTCTGGCCCTTTATTTTCCTTTGTACATGCTTTTAAGTCTTTTCACAGTATTTCTCAATGTGACTGTAAGATTTCATAGATTTAGGACAAGGGATCCAATACATTGCGAAACAACATTCAAATCCCAAGGAAGGAAGCCTTATAAGATTATAGAAGCTTTTTCTCCTTAAAATAGAGATGCAAATATCCTGTTGTTACTTATTTCTGTTCCTTTGTCTGGTTCTAAATCGCTAAATGAGTTAAATGGCTTTGATCTAGACATGTCTGTTGCTTTTGTGCATTAAAAAATAACATACAATGGTGAGACATATTCTGTTTACCTTAAGATTGTTTATTTTTCTATAAAAAGGCAAGTAAATCTACAAAGCTACCTAGGTTTAGCTATTTCACCTCCCTTATATGATCTGCAGTGTTGGAGAGGTGTATACCTGAAGAAGTCTCCATGGTCTGCTTGCTGATTGCTGGCAGTATGTCGGATCTTTTGTCAGTCAGTAGCTTGGCAAATCATGTGACTCATTCTGAAGATCTGAGTGCTTACCCTAGAAGTAAGAAAATTGATTCTATTCATTAAACTAGACCACAGAAATAATTTTACCAACCATATGGTTATACTTAATGTTCATTGAAGAGAACATCAGTAAGTAATTCACCAAAAGGACTGTTTCCAGCCTAGGGTTTTTTTTCTTGCATTTTTGTTCTTTTTTTACTTCCTCTCTGAATGACTCTGAATGGTCTTCATAGCTGGCAGTATTTATTTTCAGGTAACAGTGGTGTTAAGGCATGGATGAATCTGCAGCCTAATTCTGATAATCCTTCCTCCTTTCCCCAGTTATGTACTGTCACTTCACATATTCTGTAAATGCTCAAGTAACCACTTCTGTAAAAGCGAGGAGTACTTAGACTTGCTTGTGAGATGAATTTCTCTGTGCTCTGTGACTTCTCCCTGATAGCACAGACACGTGACTTGCACAGAAGTTTGCTGTTAATGTAATGAGGAATAAATTTTTAGGCTGACACTCAGTTTTATAAAGCAACTCAATGTAAAGGATGAGCAGGATGAGGGGAGGAAGGACTGTTCAGACTTTCAATTAAAACCTGCTGTATTATAAAATTGCTGCTGATTGCAGTGTCTCAAAGGTGGGATCTCTGTAGTTCTTTCCTGAACAGACACCTGCAGAACCTGACTTGTCTTAATAGAAATTTTACTGCTGTCTTCAGTGGGAGCAGCATCTGTGCTGAAAACGCCCAATCACTTAATCAAGAACATTTGGGACAGGGGAAGAAGGAAATCTCTTACCAACACAGACTCAAACTCAGGCCTTGACCTTCCTGTAAATGAAAATTATTTAAAAGTGAGCTTGGCTGTTGGATAGTGATTTTCTTGTGCCAGTTATTAGCTAATTCTAAGGCTTGACTTTGTGGTATGAGCTGAATGCCTGAGGATGACTTGTAGACTGTGTTCATCTTAAAACAAATAAACTCACTGTCCTGTGTTGTAGGATGAGTAAGCTGTGTAACTCTTTCGCAGTTAGTGTGAGACTCAAAAATGCTCTTGCTGAGGAGGCTGGAGGCAGCTCTTCAGGGGCTGGGCTGCAGTTATAAGAGGCATCCAGAACAGGTAAAGTAACCTCTTCAGAGGGTATGGGGAGAAACAATGTGCATCTCTTCCCTGCCAAGAGAGGAGAGATCCTTAGGGCTTGCTGTGCAAGGGGGCAGAGCTCTGCACAGGATTCCTGATGAGTGCTTTTTTTGCCCAAAGCTGATATAGAGTGGATCTTCTGCCTCAGTGAATGTTGGACTTGCAGTTTATTTGCATTAGACTTTGTGTTGTTTGAATGTGTTTATTTTCAGCTCCATATAGTGGCATGGTTGGGCTTTGAAATGAAGGTAATCAAAATATAAAGAAAACAAAGTCTTTATGAAAGTGGAGGAGATAAAAGGAAAAGCTATATTGTAAACTATTCTAAGAAATACAAACTGGAGCAATGCCCAGCAGACATAAAAACCAGAGTGATACAGTAAATGAGGCTGTTGTAATTGATAATTAAAAACTTGCAAGATGTTATGTTTCTAACATTTTTTTTTTTACAGAAAAACAATCATATTTCTCATTGAAAGTCTAAGCGAAAAATGAACTTGCAGCTGCACATAGGCTCAGACTTTCCTGTGTTCACCAGAATACAGTAAAAGTGGGTGAAATGTTTACTGAGCTGGAATTTCAGTGAAGATATGTCTGCACACCAATGGTGATACGTTATACTTCAGCCCCAGAGCATATATGTCATGGCTGCCCTCAGCTCACTTCTAGAGGACTGAGCTGCTTCCTGTTTTCCTTCTGAAGTGGATAGATTTGCTCACCCCTAATAAGAAACAAATGGGACCCAAGTCTTTGACTTACTTGCTTCCATACTTGAAAGCACAGACAAGCTGGTATCATGTTTTTTTCTTTTTATATTGCTTGGTACTTGAATACAGATAATTTTTAAAAAATGTTATGCACACTATTTAAAAAACAAGCAAGGTAAACAACAAAGAAATCCAAATCTAAATTTCAGCAGGTAACGCATTTTTCCAACGCTTCTTGCAAGAGTATCAGAGATGGTCTTTCATTCTTCTTGGAATAGCATCTGTACACAGTAGCAACAGACTTTGTATCCTTGTAATCACTGTCTTTCAGGAGTTTGATGCTAAGGTCATAAGGGGAAATGTTGGCTATTTTTTCTTGGTGTGTTGCACCTGCTTGCAAGCATGTTGAAGTCCTAAGTCACTCTTTTTATGGTCCTGGAGAGTTTCTTGAGGTCTAAAGTGTTTTGTTCCCTTTCCCAGTATTTAAAAAACAGTCTTAAAAAAAAAAAAAAAAAGAGGAATAGCTACAGTCTGCCTATGATGCAGAAAAATTATTCTTTAAAAAATGTACATGTGGTTTCTCTGTAATCATCATAAATGTTCCCTCTAGGGTCCTGTAGACTACTTTGTTCTGCAGTTGATGTCCTCATAGCGCAACCTTCTGACATAACCTCTAGAGAGGCATTGTGCTCAATATAGGTACAGGAGTGCAGAGTAGGTAAGTTGACCATTTTGCTGTCTGCCTTCACATTAGGAATTGTAAAGAGCTGGAAAATACCTGCAAATGCATTTTGTAGATGTTGTAGGGAAAACATCCAATTAAATTGTACTTCTAGACACAGCTTCCATTTTTGTTATACATATTTGCATATAAACTTTGGTACCTCTAAGGAGAAGAGGTTTGAACAGCTGAAAGTTAGAGTGAGTAGAGTGTGGTAGGTCAGGTTATGGCAGCAGGAAGAAATATTTGCCTACTTGCAAATTAGTTACAATGGTTACAGGTGCCTCTATTCTGCAGTGCAGTTTTGGTGCTTTGAGACACTGTGAGCAAATACACAGTTGTGTGGGCAGGGAAAGGGACTGAATTGCGACTGTGGCTCGGTCGTGGCTTCTTGTTCAAGACTGGCTTACTACATTTCTTGAAACTTCACCCTAATTTCTGTTTAGAAGTAAGAGCAGTGGTGGCTCAGTCAGATATTTGGAACCTGGTGTCTGGTGGCTGCAGAGCTTTTGGTTCTCTGAAGAAAGGTGGTTTGCATAGAATACTGATGCCTGAGTTGATTATTCCAAAAATCAAAACCAGACTGTTGCAATGACACAGGAAAATAGTTTTTCAGTCTGCCATGAATATCATACATAAAAGAAAGCAGTAACAGGACTTCTCTGCTTACAGTATATCAACTGTTAAATATAGCACAGAGCTATAAAAAGCAGAACAAATTTTAGTGTGTCTTTTATACATGGAGGGCTGGACCTAATAAAAACCCCTATGTGTAGTGCTTGAGAAAGAACCTGATTAGTTTCTCTTGTTCTGTTCTTACAGAGTTGGTGAGGTGACTGGAAAGTTTGTAGAATCAATGGGTTTTGTCTGTGGTTTTGTACTGGTGTCAGAAACGTTCTACTCTGAATTGTATTACTTGTTTGTGTCTTGCAAGGTCTCTGGCTAGTGCTTGCCTGTTTGTAAAAGTATAGCATGGATCAGACACAAGCAGCTTGTGGCTGGTATTTGCATTACATTAGAGTAGAGGTTTGGACAGTAGAGGCCATAAACCTGCTAATGGCTCGTCTGTACAACAGCTCCTGGTTCACAGCACATTTGTGCATGTCTTAGATCGTGTTTGGTCATGCTGCATCCAACTTCTACAGCAAGGTGAGGAAACTGACACTGCACAGCACACAACCTAGGGAAAGATCATGGGTAGTACAGAATATTTCCTCATGTCAAAGGTATGTGCACTGTTTTTTGAACTAAATAAATCCTGTAAGGAGTGAGGACTGGGGGGACTTCATGCGATGTTCATTGTGATAAAGAGTGCATGAAGGGTTTATTATGTTGATATCTTGCATCATACCTTGTCTTGGAGCTTTTCCTCTAGGTCTATTAGTTAGAAATTGATTAAATCTAAGGTATTTGCAAAGTACCCTTAAGAATTTTCTAATATTTCTTTAAAAACTTTTTCTCACAAACTATGCTGATTCTTTGTATTTGCTAGCTAAATGGTTCAAGTCTTTTATGCTGCATTTCTCTAATTTTAATTCATGTAGCAATGTGGTAACCAAAAAAAAAAAAAAAAAGGATATTGCAGAAGTTACAGGAGGAAAGACGGAAACAAGAAGAAATGATTTCCACCTCTCTCGCTTGTCCTTTGAGTAACTGGATCTATATTGAGGTCTTTGAGATTGCTGGTTTGGGGTCTTTTTGGTCCTATTTATTTTCCCAGATTAGGATTTGAGGAGTGGCAAGTAAAACAAAAAGACAGACCCAAAGAATGGGATGGCTTTCACTTAGGGCAAGCTAGAGCTGTGTGCAAGTAGAGCAATGTCTTAACAGGGGAGATTTAAATAGCTTAAAAGAATGTAACCTATTGACCACGCCTGTTCCACAGAAATATCTTCCCTCTTTATAGTGACTTAATATAGCTTCCAGAATTAAAAATAGGACACAGTTACCCATGTATATCTTCTCTGTTAGCCATTATTAAAACATCCTGCAGTATGCAAATGCTGAAGAACCAGCTGTGAACTGTATAACTCAAATACACTCTTGCATTTTTTTTTTTTGCTAGAAAGTAGTTAGGCATGACCTGCTTTGCATGCATGAAGATGAAAATAACCTCAGGATTTAGATGGATACCTTTAGAGTTTTGGGTTTTTTTCCCCTCTTCTCAACCTAACAGTGGAGAGTTTCTACAGTTGGTCAGTATATCCTATTTTGAGAAAGGGATGTTATTTCTAATTCTAGTAAATAGGATGCTATGGCAAGTAGGTATTGTCTGTTGAAGTACAGTCATGGTGACCTTAGAGATCTCAGAGGGAATGTATTTTTGTCAGCTTTTGTTACTGGTCATCTGTCTTCTCTTGAAGTTATATTCTGCTGAGAGCATGGGCCTGACAATATTTTTGTTTGGATTTTTTTATATGGTTTTTCACCAAACAGGGGTTATGCTTCTCGTTTTCATGTGGCATTTTAAACTGCTCATTGTAATTTTAAAATTAACGGGAATAACTAGTGATATGTACGAAAAAATACACTGTATATTTAATGCATATTTATGAAACATGAATATCTTAATTCTTCTATTGAAAATTTCATTAAATTGCTGGGAAATGTAGTTGGATGATGAGCTAAAGCACTTTGCATCCTGAGGAATGCTGCTGTGTAGGCATATGTCCGATACTGCTCAAAAGCTGCAGGACACAGCTCCTGTTGGGCTGGGAATGAGGGGGAAGACATTTATTACATCAGAATATGAGGGAGGAGAAATATTTCCTGCTTGCAGAGCCCAGCATGTCTCAAAGGCAAAGGAGCTGGATGGCATTACTGTGTAGCAGCACGTCATGGTTTTGGGAGGTACCTGTCGTCAGGCCGATAGTGAATTTTTATTTCAGACTTCATGCCTAGATCTTTGTACTGCTTAAATAGCATAATGTGTTACTATTAAAGTGATCAAAGTGCTTCAGTGGAACCTTTTGTTCTTCTGAGTGTTGTATTATGCCAGGAAATGTGTGTTTCCTAATTTCTTGTTATTCTTTTACAGATGGCTGATCTACAGCTTTATAAACTGGATGAATTGGACTGTTTGATCCAGGGCCTCCTTTATGTTGATTCTGTTGGTTTCAATGGCCAACCAGAGTGCTATTATTTTGAAAATCCTACAGATCCTGAACAGTGCCAGAAAAAGCCTTACTGCCTTGATAATCCATATCCTATGCTGCTGGTTAACATAGGCTCAGGGGTCAGCATCCTAGCTGTATATTCTAAGGACAATTACAAAAGAGTTACAGGATCCAGGTAAATTGACTTTTGATTTTTTTTAATTGTTTTCTCCTTCACAACTGAACTTGTAGAATTGGAGAGTGTGATCATTAGCTACAGCTCCAAATTGTGCATGTATTCCCATTTCTTTTAAAAGCCTACCAGTAGCAAGGCTGAAAATATCCTAGGATACCTTCAGAGGGAGAATCTATGTCAGGGAAATCATTGATCTGTTAAATTTTAGACCTGCCTTAGTCTCTTCTTATTAGTCTTATTTTGATAGTCTTTTGCCTATTTCCCATGTCTTGCTGTGAATTACCAAAACAAAACTGTCCCAGCAAATGAGGCTTCTCTCCCCTGCCTTCTGTTTCTTGATGTATGATACATATTAAAGTTTTTCCTGTATGCTGCACATGACGTGCTTATGTATCTTCTATTGCCTTACCTAGGGCATACGTTTGCCACAATGGTAGCCATGAGCCATTTCTCTGTCTGAAGTACAGATGGATACAAGTTCAGTGGGAGACATTGGATTTCTTACAGTTCTGGATCTTTTTCAAGCACAAAGATTTTGGTATCTTTGGTAGACGTGCTTCTAATCCTTTCCACTATGGAAGGGAAAACATGACTGCAGTGTATTGTTGACTTGTGACAGGTGATGAAATCAATAATGTCTTGTGGCTGGTATGCAGAGCTTTCTACTGTTCAAATACTGAGTATACTACAGTTCTGTAAAAGGTGTTCTGAAAAACTCAATAATCCAAGAACATGGACTAAATAGTGTTCCTATGTGACCTCGTGTGCTTTTTTCAAGAAGTGCAAGTGTGGTCTCTCACTGATCCCCTTGTTTTCAGTGGCTCCAGTCACTGTGACTGCAGTCACTGCAAATAAGCTAACTTTGTCAGTGGCCAAGAAAGAATGAGCAAGGATGTAGAGATTAGTAAATTGAAGTTCATGTCTGTAAGACTGAAAAGTTCAAAGTAGAGCTTTAATGAGTTAGCAACATGTTACGCACAGTTAAATTCTCCCTGCTAAATTTATGTAGTTGGTAAATATTGTACTTGAGCCTTTACAAAATATTCAAGTGAGTGCTCCTTGCTCAGAGTTCTTGCAGGGAAAGAACATTCAGGGCTGATGCTGGGCTTGCTTTGTAAAGAAGCCAACCAGACTGCTTCCTGCCGTTGGCTGGAGGGACAAGATCTGTCTTGGCTGCCAGCCCTTGTAGATTTACCTTTGTTCACTGTTCATTCTTTCCTCACTCATTTGAGTGCTCTGCTGCTTAATTATTCTCGTGCAGAAAACTTGTTAGTGCTACAAATAGCAAAGTGGTATCTGAGGTGTTGGACTGGACCTTATTCTTAGGTAACCCTTTAGTATAACTTTTCCTATTCAGGGATTAAAGACAAGTCTAGTTCAGTTAAAACCACACTTGTGTTAAACAGGAGCTCAGCGCAGAGTGCCTCTGTTTGCTCCTCGGAGGGAGGAGCTGTGAGATACAGCTGCACCTGTGTGCAGCATGTTGTAAATGGCTCTGAAGGGCTGTGGTAAAAGCTGGTTGAAGCTGCTGGGCTGAAGGCACTGTGCTTTTGCAGCCTTGGAGGAGGAACGTTCCTGGGCCTGTGCTGTTTGCTCACTGGCTGCGAGACCTTTGAAGAAGCGCTGGAAATGGCAGCAAAAGGAGACAGCACCAACGTGGATAAGCTGGTGAAGGATATTTATGGAGGCGACTACGAGCGCTTTGGCCTTCAAGGCTCTGCTGTAGCGTCCAGGTGCGTGTTAATTGAGCTGTTTGTAAGCAGTGCCTTGGGAAACCTCCTGTGCGTGCTAAACTGAGTGCATAATCCTGGACTATGCGCTGTGTCCATGGAGAAATGTCACTCCATGTGTCATGGGGTTCGTCCTTAGATCTCTCACCTACTTCTTGCTTCTTTTTTTTCAACAGGTGTAAGTAATGCCTGATACAGTTTGCTTCCATTTAAAGTACAGTTATTTTGGAAGTGTCCTTACTCATTGTTCTGCCTTTTCACATTTCAAATCTGTCACAAATGAATGGTTATCAAATCCAAGCAAAGCTTGCTAAATGAGGAAATTTTAAGGGCTTTTATCACTCCTGAATCTCTCATATTAAAAGGCATGATCTTTCTCATGCAGCTTTGGTCATATGATGAGTAAAGAAAAGAGAGATTCCATCAGTAAAGAGGACTTGGCCAGAGCTACTTTGGTCACCATCACCAACAACATAGGTTCTATTGCTCGCATGTGTGCATTGAATGAGGTAAGTTATTTACCGTGAGCTTAAAACCTTTAGAAACAACATAGTGAGATTATCAGGATGCAAAAATGCAAATTGCTGACGTGGTAGGTGGGTCACTGGCCTTGGTAAATATGCATATATTTAATGTCATGTCATAAGTCTTGCGGCTTGTTATGTGTGTGCTTTGATGCAAAGTGTAAGGCTATTCAAGCTTCAAAGTTAGGGAAGAGGGGAGAAAAATTGTCTGTAAAGATCTTTTTGAGGCATTGAATTTCAGCCTGGAGTGTTTGCTTGTTCTCAAGCTGTAACACATAGATATTAACATGTTTTTAATACTAATTATTACTCTGTTACTTTGTGGTTATTTACAGGTTTTACTATAGCATGATAGAATTTATTTTGAATACTATTTTGCTTGGATTGTTTCCATAGCAGGATGGGTTCAAATTGTGTATTGTATTAAATGTTTCGATAGATGCAAGTTCAATTGCATTTTGTCAGAAAGAAGAAAAATGTCGTTCATTTTCCTGCCTGAGACTCCTATCAGATGCTTATTACATTCTTTGCATTAGGCATGATAAATAGGGATGGATTGTTCCATCCATACACTACAGCTTCCAGCAGTTAAAAAGAACCAAAACCAAACACAAACCCCACCACAGACCCAAAAATTCAGGCCCTTGCTTTTATCTGCAGATTTCATCCTTTACCATTATTTCTAATACCTTTTATCTGCTCTGAGCAGATAATGAATTTATATAATTTTTTAATACATAGATGTTTCAGCTGCACAGCATTCTGTTGGTAGAAAAAAAAATGCTGCTGCTTTTATATTTTTAATCAACAACACACACAGAATCAGAAAAACTGAACAAAACAAAGCCAAGGAACTCACTAACTGCCATCTGATCACTTTATTGGGTCCCATCTAGCTTATGGCTTTATCAGAAATAGTAAATAATTAATCACTAGTGCTTTTTGTGGGTGTGGGTTTTGATTTGATTTTTAATCAACCTTTGCTACTTCTCCCTCTTGGTCTTTCCGGACGAAAGGTCCTAATACTTAGTCTCCTTACAAAAAAAAGACAAGATGCCCTTTTATGCACTGCTTTCTTTTGTATTTTTGATCTTTTTATGGTTGTAATTTTAGGATTGAGTTAACAGCTCTTTATATGAAATTTAGTGTCATTATTCAGTGAATTTATGTGATGACATATGGATAGATTTTTGTGTTCAGAGCTCCTTTGCTAACAGTTAATAATATTTCATTTTTGTGAGCATGGAACTAATTTCTAAGAAATCATCAACAGTCCCTCCATGGTATCATCTTAAAAGTGGCTGATTTGGAGCCTATCATTGTGTCTGCATAATCAAGTGCCTTTGTCTTTCCCCCTTTCAGTTGTGTCATTTCACTTCTTTAATTTGAACTTCATCTGCCATCTTTTCCTCAATCATGGGATCCAAATCTTTTCAGCACTGCTATGCTGTTCATTTTTTATTTTCTTTTGATTTTGTATGTCATTATTATGTTTTTTGCTCATATTCCTCCCTAGAGGACCTGATCAGCAGAAGTTGTAGTGTTGCCCCTATTATCAAATGCCACTGATAACCTTCCTTCATTGTGAAAAGTGGCTACAGACTTGCTCTTTTTTTTTGGCAATTTGACTCTTTTCAGTCAGGATGATTCTCTTTCAGTGTTCTCTTTGCTTTCAGCTTCTTTACAGTGTTGCCTTGTGGCATGGAGTTCAAGCAGCATTGTACAGGGCTATCAAAGCATGGAGAGTTGCAGCAGGGAACCACAGAGGAGGAGACAGGCTGCTTACTAAACTAATACTTCTGAGTTGCTGTGAAAAAGTTCTTAACATCTTTGTTCTGGGGGCAGGCCTCTTAAAAACTGATGTGATCCATAGAATTTGGTGGAGAAATGTGAATTAATGTGTTAAATATTCTTCATTTCACAGTGTCAAAGCAGAATTTCTCCAACACCTGAAGTAAATTATTTTGTAATTTTAGAGAATGAAAACTTCACTTAGTTGCTTTGCATACTATTAAAAAGGAAAACATGCAGTCTCACTTCAAGTAAGCTAATCTTCAGATAGCTTCCTCTTGGGGAAAAAAACCCGAATGCTATCACTCTGCTAAATAATCTAGACACCTAAATTGCCTTTGGGAGACATACTCTGACTTACAGCAAGCCTGATTAATCAAATCCTCAAATAAGAGCTAAATAAACAGTTGAATATGATATTTTTTGTGGAGCTTGTATGTCTTAGATTAGGGTTATGTTAAAGCTCACTTTTAGGTTGACAGAATCAATTTATGCCCTGAAGCATGACTTTTGATAAGTTTTTCCCAATGATTGCAGCTTTAATATTGTGTTGAAAATGACTTGCATATGTGCAGGAAAAAATGAGGCTGGGGAATAAATGAAATATTCTGTCTGCAAAACTTCAAAGCAAATTTGCTTGCACAAAGTTGGCAGTGGGGTAGAAAAATTCCATAGTCTGGAACCATTTGGCCACAGACCCTTTGAAATGGCCTGTCCTAGGCACAGCAGAACTGCATAAAGGAAATGATCTCCTGGTTTATACTTTTCTTAGAACATGTAAGTTTGCATCTGAGCAAGCTGCCTTGCAAAAATATGTGCAGGTTTTTTATTGTGTTATTGATATAGATTTCCCTATTCAATTATATTGGTAAATACTGTGAATATGCTATATTAAAGCTATACTATAGCTTTCTGCTGCAGGGTAGTTGAACAATTTAACAAGACCCCACAGAGTGAAAGAGGGCATGTCTTTTCCAGGATGCTGTAATTTAATTAGCTTAAATAAGTATGTCACCACCATCTCTTCAGCAGTTTAAGGTTTCTGCTTTGAAAGTTTCAGCAGTGGACAATTTAAAAGTAAATTGACACTACTCCCTTAGTTCAGATCAGAAATTTAGGCAAGTTTCCATTAATACAGTTTTTCACCTTGTCAACTCAAGGAATGTTTGAAACACAGTTGAAATTTGCATGCTGGTCTACACTGTTATTCTAATAGATATGACTAGTACTTTTAGATTCAAAATCTGCAGTAATTTTTATACTCTGTGTTAGGTATTGCTTCTGGTAACACTACCTTTGTTTTTATATTTTACATTCAGAAAAAATCGTATGCATGTGAAATTGAAATGTGGATTCTAATCAGTTTTATCTGTGGCATTACAGGAAATAATTTAGTTGCATATTTGTCCCTCTTTTGTCTGAAGCTGCTTAAGACACAAAACTGCCTTATCCAAGGATGCAGGGAGCTCTTGGCCATGTTCCAAAGCAGCATTTTGAAATTTAAGAAGTTCTTATTTTCATTCATAAATTCCTGAGCATGAGTGCATGCTGATGTGACTGCAGAGCCTGAAGAGATAGATGGCTGAAGGGAAATGGTTCCAGTGAAGTTTGTGCTGCAGTGTTTGCTGGAGGGCAGTCAGGGCTGCCCCTTGCTCAGGCAGCACAGGCCGGTGGATGGGTTCGGTGGCTGGGATGGGCTCTCCAGCACTCCAGTGGGGGTGTCCCCTGGGCTGTGACACAGAAATGGCCCTGGACCTGGCACAGCTGTGGCTGTAGCACAGGAATTGCTGCAGAGCCAAGTGTTGGGCTTTATGGAGCTGGATCAAAGTAGAGGGGTAACCTATGCTAATTCTAGCCCCTGTGCAGCCTTTTTGGCAAACTTTTGCAGAAGACTCTCGAAGATACATTCCTAGGGCTCTTCAGGACTCCTGTAAAAGCTTTTATCTCCAGATGTGGCCTCCCACTGAATCTGGTACAGCAATGCAAAATGCAAGTGCTATTTTGTGCATAACAGGCAGAACTGGCCTTAGTAAGATAGTTGGGGGCATTGTTTAAACACCACACAGAACTGCTTACTGCAGTGATGTACATACAAGTAAGGATAGTCTGTGGCTTTCTCACTGGCAGCCTAGTGCTGATGGTTCGAAAAGTCTCAATTTCCTGTGACAACTGAGTTCAAATGAGCTTTGAAACAAAGGAATGCCATACATATCAAGTAGTATTATGTTGGCCTCATTTAACTTGCTTTTTGAAAATGGAGTCACAGTCCTGATAATAGATAATGAAAGATGCTCCTTCTCATCTCTAATGTAATCCTTGTCACATACCCTTTAGAGGTTCTCCATCTGAATTTAATAATCACAGTGATCTCTGGAAACTTGCTTCATTTAACATGCAAGGGGGGAAGGATGTCTTCAGTGCAGCCATATAAAATTAAAAATACCAAACACCACCTCCAAAACACTCATAATCTGAGTCATGTTGTGAAGGTTGTGACATTTATTCAATATTTTAAATAAAAATTGATCATCTATGATAATAGCCTCTCACTTTCTTTGAAATAAAACTCTGCACCTCCCTGCTTTTGCAATGTCTCTTACTTAGCAATCACTAACTGCAATATTTTTTGACTTTTCAGTTTGAAGTATTTAAATGTAACCTAAAATTCCCGTTTAACTTTATAGTAGAGGCAGAGGTACATGCTAAATGAGGCAAATAATGTAGCTGAATATAATTTCTCTTGTATGTTTTTCAAATTCAATTTTACAGAATATCGATAAGGTGGTGTTTGTTGGCAACTTTCTCAGAATTAATATGATTTCTATGAAGGTGCTAGCATATGCTATGGATTATTGGTCCAAGGGACAGCTAAAAGCTCTGTTTTTGGAACACGAGGTAAGGAAATATGTGTTAAACTTGTATTTGTAAGTACAAAATTCTTGTAGTTCTTTTTGGTGAACTTGAAAGGGGAGAAATGCCATTGCTTTGAATTGAACACACAAGCTAAGTTCTTCATAAATGTTGCTTAGTTTACAAATTCATTTGAAAGTACTACTTGTTAACTCCTTGGTTTTATCACTAATCTCATGACATGTGTTGTTAAACATTGCCCATTTATCATCTTTGCTTTCTGACCCTGATAGCAACAATATTCATTTGTGTGGGCTGGTATAAGAGAACCTCAAGTATAATTCATTTTTTAAGCATAATTTTGAGGTGACTACCAGCTGGACAGGTCCATAGTGGAAACTGCCCTGCCTCAGTACAGCATCATTATTGTGGTTTAGTAATTTATTTTTTTTTATATAATTTTGGAGAACTACAAAGACTTTTTCCAGTATCAGGCCCTTTCTTCTATCTAAGGATGATTTTACTAAATTATATTTTAGAGAGCGCAAATATTTGGCAGGGCTGACATTCTTTTAGTTGCCTTAACAGAACTGAAAACTTTGTGTTCATGTTATGTCTTATTTTGGAATTTGATTGGTTTTGGTTTTATTTTGCCTTTGTTCAAAGGGTTATTTTGGAGCTGTTGGGGCTCTTCTAGAAATGCTTAAAATGACAGATGATCAGTGATGAAGCTGTCTGAAGAGATTCCTACTGCAGATGCTGCTGGGTAAGAGTGAAAGCCACTACAAGGATGGAAATGAAGCCATTATGGTAGTTCTACCTGCTGGATTTGTAAATAATTTAAAATCCTTTTAACTGATCTTTAATTTCTGAGTTTTGACCTTATATTTCAGAATTCATACTGGGAATTATGAGATTTTTTTTTCTGTACACTGTATTTTATAGGGGAAAAATGTGCAAAGTGGCCAAACATACAGATTTTATGGATTTATTTTAAAAAATGGATACTGTTTAATGTAGGACCTGTGATATGAGGCATCTGCTTTTCTTCTGGGGTTTACTGATTTGTGTGGTAATTTTAACTTCATTTAGTAATCACTCTAGGAGATTTTTTTTATCTTATTTTCATGACGTTTCATGATTTGTTCTTGGTTTCAAATGAAACTACAAAGCTGATGCATTTTACTGTGAAAACTAGTCATTGATTTTCTTGCCTTTCCTTTCCTCATTAGATGAGATACTTTAACATCTCTCTGCACCCCCCCCAAAAAAAAAAAAAAAATTTGAAAATCATTCTGTGGCTAGATGCATTTCTTCAAAGGACTGTGAGGAAGCTTCTTAGCAATAGGGGGTTTAAGATTGTAATTTTTCAGTGGTCATGAATTACAACAGGGAGAGACTGCCAACTGGTTCTGCAGGGCTGATTCTTCTTTATAATAAAAAAATCTAAAGAAGTTGTGAACTAACATTTTAATTATTGACACTAAAATGAGAATCTGTTTCTGAATAAATCCTCTGATCAACATGAAGAGTTCTGTAGTAAAGATGTTATTCGCACTTGGTATTAGATGGGAAAGGGAGATTATCTTCAGTTATTTTTCTGTAGTCTGCAAATTTTAACTTGTTCTTAATTGAAAACAACTGATAACATCATTATTAAAAGCCTAATTACTAAAATTAGAAAAATACTGACTAAACTATTTTCTGCTTTTAAACTAGTGTTAACTTCCTCTCCAGGACACTAAAATTTGAGTGTTTATTCCAAGACAGTATTTTCTACCTTTTCGGATTTGTGAACCTCTCTGGATTTGTTTTCCCAAGTTGAATTGAGATCCCTTTGAAATCCATGTACTTAGGTTGCTGCAGAGCATGTATAAACTTGGTTTCCTCAGACACCTTGAGGGCTCACATATGAGAGGCTGAAAAACAATTCATAAATTATTTTGTCTTGCAAGACTGTATGTGATGTCATATAATGTAAATGACTCATCAGAGGGACAGTATAAAATTCACTATATTTTTGGAAGGGGTATATTTCACTTTTTTAATGATTAACTTACTTATCTCCCAAATGTTGAAAGATGGTAATATTAACTGAAGTGTTAACTTGTGTGATGGAAATAAAGACCACTACTGTTTTGACAGTTTTAATGTATCTGTGGAATTCATTTCTTGAAAGTAATGACATACATAGCACTTTTCTTGTGAGATACATAGCACTTTTTTGTGCCATACATGGCTATTTATTTCTGTGATAATGGTTTGGTTCTTGACATGTTTTTACTCTTCATAACAAAGCTTTATTCTTTGAAGCCTCTTGCCTGCTTGAAGTTGACTTTAAAGGGCTGTAAACAAAAATAGGAGATAATATTAGCACATTGAAGTTGATAATTTCTGTAATATTGAGTTTGAGATAAGTGCAGATGATTCTGCTCAGTGCCTCTATTTTTTTAATAAAGAAAAGAAAACTTTGATTAAGGTTATTGGCTATGTTTTGCCTGCGAATAAAGATTCACTTGTACACTGTTTTGGTTTTTTAAGGAAAATTTCAGAATGTTAAGAGGTAATTGTGCTTCTTATGCTAACCAGTAGAGGGAAGCACGACTTCAGCAACATAACTGCTTGTTTCAGAGAAAGATCCTGTCTTTCTCTCCATTGTCTGTTTTTGAAGGGGATTTGGCATGGGAATGTCTGTCACTTTGGTGTTCTTGCATTCTTCACATTTGGAATTGTGAAGGAAGACTATAATGATAAGTAAACAAATAGGAAAAATCTGAAAAACCTGCCGTTCTTTTAAGATTGAAGTCCTCTCCAAAAAACAAACTCAAAACCCAAAAAATCCACATAAATTGAAAAAATCCTAGCACACCATTCAGAGAAATATATAAGGACTTTTAATGCACAAATTGAGGCTGTGTGGTTGAAGAAGAAAAGCACAATCGTGGTAGCCCTGAAGTTTGCCCTAAGATTCTAGGGACTGTCAGGTAAGTTGATCACAGTTCTAAGAGAAACACAAATAGAACTTTACCTTAAAAATCTGATTTGAAATTTAAAGCGTTTAATAGGTGAATTTCTGTAGTTAAAGAATGAGAAAAAGTATTCTGAATTGTAGATTACATAAATGAGTACACCTGATTGGGAAAAAATATTAGCAGACTTTAACTAGGATAGAGAGTTGTGGAAAGTCACAAAGTAGGAAAAACTAGAGGAAAGTATCACTGTATGTTCAATTCTTCCCTTCCTGAGGGAGAAAAGCTTAATTTCTTTGTTTCCTTGAAATCTACAGTTTACTACTTTTTCCTGTTTCCCCATCAATACCATCATATGAATCTGCTAGTACTGGAACTTCCTTTTTTACCTTCAGACTTTGCCTGCCTCTACTAATGCCAGCTCTTGGTTTTCTCCTTCATGACTCCCTTCTGTAATTAAGGTATTGGAAAAATGACAGTGTGGTTGATTTCTGGCACTGTTACAGTATTTTTGTCACAGAGGAGTCCTTTGGGGCATTTCTGAGAGCATTGGTGTTGAATTTTTCTGCTTGCTGTCTACAGTCACCTGTTGGAAGTGGTTTCCCAAGGTTCCCAACTTCATCCAGAGATACCTAAAGAGTCTGAAAACATTCTTGCTCAACTACACAGATAAACCTCTCCTATAACTGGTACAAACTGGAAGTTTGTGCAAGCAAAGTTCAACTCCAGCACTATCCAAGAGTATTACTGAGAATCTAGAAATATCCAGATTCTTGGATTTTCTTGTTGGATTCTTTCTTGTTTTGGAAATGGTGAAGTTGAAGAAGCAGATTTCCCTAAGGGAGATCAGTGAGTCTGCAGATTTAGTATGTGTTGAAAGTACTGATATAAATTAAAGAGACCAAGCTTTGTTAATCTAGCTTCTCTTTCTGAAATATGGTAAGGTAATTATTCAGGTAAGTTGGAGCAGACTGAGTCAGACTCATCACTCTCAATTTTCATAGTCTATTCTTTTGCACTTGAATATTTGTTCTTGAATCACATGCTACTCTCCTCATTCTCTCCCCACCACCAGCAAGACAGCCCAGTTTTAAATGGTTTTGACAAAAAAAGTCTAATTACATCCCATAGGAAGAAAGGTCTGTGTTCTAAAGTTTTTGGACAAAAGTATTGGGGAGAAATCCCTAATGCTGTATGAAGAGTGAGAAACAACTAAGAGAATTTAATTTATCAGATTTGATGGAGAAGGCTAGCATGGGGGCAGTACAAGAATCTGACTTCTAGGACAAGTAGGGTGCTTGGAGTTCATTCCAACCTCAGCAAAGCTGTCCTGGTGTTTCACTGTTATCAGCACTTCTGTTCCCATTAGACTGTCACAAGATACTTGCAAGTGATTTTTGGCAGAACACAGCAGAACTTTAGAGATGGGAGAGCCATATGGGGTTGAACTGATGACAGAATAAACATACATGATTGTTTCCACTCAGATGAGGAGTTCTACTGGGTTCTGTTTTTAAAGTACAAGGTGTCTTTGAATTTGGAATGAAATGAAACACAGGCTATGAAAAAGTCTCTTTTGTGTCTTGGTACCTGGAATGAAGGTGGGTAAACAGCATGAAACGGCATCATGTTTTACAATGTGTCATTCCCTGTTCTTAAGTGCTTTTGCTTATTTTGTTGTGATGATCAGGGGACTTCTACCTTCAGAAGCGTCATTCCAAGTTGACAACTTTGTAGTTTTCCAGGTGTTTGAGTAGGTGACCCATTCATTTTTTTTCAAACTTAAAAATTTGTGCAAATCTGGGCATTTAATACAAAGCAGAATTTGCCCTTTAGCAGATGCTGAGGTACCAAAGCAGCCTTGGCAGTGCACATACAGAGTAGGGTTTATCTTACTGGGATTCCCATTTATGCCCATCCATGAAGATGTGGTCTCAGCTAACCATGTTACCACTTTCTCATACAATATGTTAGGAATTTTTTTTCCAAAATGGCATGCTTTTTTGGGTTTAAAATCTTTGGTGAGATGAACTTTTCCTTGCAAGGGAATACAGATTTTCTGTTGCATCCTCGAAAGCATCTGGGAGCAATGCTTACATCAAGTCTCATAATGGGCAGGCACTGGTTTGATAATGCATTTTGTCACAACAGACATATCAGAGCTTCAAGTAACAAGGTGGTGTGACCACTGGTGTGCTGTGACTTGCTCAGGGGATTTGTTTTGCATTAATGTTAACAAATTGCACAAAACCAACACAGCTGGTCTCAGCTTGTTGGAATTTTTAATGCAGGTGCTAAGTAAGAGTGGAAGAGGAAATACCTGTGTTTCAGTAAGGATGAAGAAATTAGTATCTCAAGCCCATAGGAAAGATGCTGACCAGAATGCTTTCCTACAAGCTTTTAGAACAGCTGCATCAGTTAGGAGACTGCAATGGAAATATTCCCATGTGAGACAGTAAACCATTACAAAGCTGTAGATGTAATTCTGAGTTGGGATAGTGGTATTATCTACATCTGCCCCCTCTGTCCTCCCACTGGCACTGCCCCACTGACATGCTGGCTGCCAGCAGGAGGCAATGGAGGCAGCCCAGCCAAGGTGGTCTGTGAACATCTGCTTTGTGAAATGCAGTCCTGTAGTGTGGACAAGGCACCTGAAGCTATGAGAGGCTTCTCTGAAAAGACTGGAAGGCTTCACCTGGAGATAAAGCCTTGTTTTTGGTATTGATTTGAACAGTGAGAACACTCTCTTCTTTTGAAAATTGCTCTTTTTTTAGATTTTAAAAATTAACTGAAATAATGCATATTAATTGAAAACCCCTAAACAAATAAGTTTAGTATTTTCACAGGCTGTCTAAATGAATCACAAAATGCTGAGTGTACTTTAAAAAGATTTAATTCCTTTTAGTAGAATTGTTTTGTTTTTTGAGCACCTCACCCCTACTGCTATTTGAATAAGTAAGCAAAAACATGCTGTTCCTATGTCCTAAGCATGGAGCATGCTGTTACCCAGCTAGCTTTCAGCATATTGCACTTGGCTACAAAAGGCTGTGCACAAAAAAATCCAGAAGTATTTACAAGATAAACCAAAACCACTCCCAAATTCCCAGTGTTTGTCACTTCTGTTTTAGCTTAGAAAATAAGTTTTCTCTTCAATTATAGGACGTTTGTAACTTCTCTCCAGCAGGTTTGCCTGTGCAGTGTAGTGGCCCCAAAGCATCATTGGTTTACCTCTTAAAAGGGAGAAAAGCAGTGCAAGGAAAGCTAAAGCTGCTTCCTGATGGTGTCTGCGGGCTGACCTGTAACACACTTCACACCTTCTCTTTTACAGCTAGGGCAGAAAACATTCAGGAACTAACTTTCCTCTCCACTCCTTGCTCTCATCACGTAAGAAATTGTATAAAAAAATTTAAGCAGAAAAGGCACCAAACCCTGCAGTGTAATTCACCTTTTATTCATTGGACAAACCATAGAGGTCAGCTTAGTTTTAGTCAAGGAGACTCCTTTTTTCAATTTCTAATCTTTTCCTCCTCAATTTGGAGCTTGATTTTTTTTAATTTTTTTTAAGGTGCCATGCAACATATCTCTCTGTATTCCAGCTCTCCTACCTGAAAGGCAATTATAGGCCTTTATGAGGTTTTTGTGAACATCTGGTTCACAGCATTATGGGAATTTGCTTAAAGCTTTGTTTTATGTACATGACTATAAAGTTCTAAGACATGAAGTCTGGCATGATAAGCCCCTTGATCAGTCTAGGAGCAGAAGAGCTGTTCCTAATACAGCTCCTACTATTAATACTTCTAATACTTCCTAATACTCCTACTCCCTCTGGAGTCCATTGACTAAGGGCATGAAACACTGTAAAAGTTTGTCCTGTGTGGAGATTGTTATGCCATTAAAATATCTTTATTCACAAAAGTGTAAGAATTGGCTCTTCCTTTTCTAGCCTACTGCCTTAGAGACCCACCGGAGGAGAGCAGGTAATTCAAAGTCAGTTCCCTTTCAGTCCCTGAGCATCCCACTTCCCCTGCTGTGCTAGAAAGCAGCGGTGTATGACTGGCAACTCAGTAAAGGGAAATTTGGGACACACACAAAAAGGCAGAACTGCAGAGAACTTTTTTAAAACACAAACAAGAAAACACTGATGCAAGCTTGAATCAGAAATCTGTCAATGAAGTTTG